TGATTACTAGATGTATGTGTTTTTTTCGCTAGATTATTTGTCTAAATGCATGAAAAATCCAATCGTTTAGAGCCGCCTTAACATAAACAGCCCGAATAATACGAATACAGGACCATAAGCGTGAGCACAGCGGGGGCCGGGTGGGCCATGGCCCACTCTGCGAGAAATTTGTATACATAGTCATATCATAATTTAAACATCACGATTTTTGATTTTTTAAATCATAAGGTAAGTAAAAATAACATTGATACTCAATAATAAATTAAAATATTTTCTTATTTAATTTTTAAAAAATAGTTTTATCCGTTTTTATCATATATGAATGATTTAAATAGTGGGTGATTATGAGTAGGTAAATTAAAGTATGTAACTTTTTAATTGTTTCTTCCATCAGAGTTCAGGTTGTTTGATCTTTATTGACTTAGCCCACCCTGCCACAAATGCCACGCCTATGTACTGCAGGGCAGAGGGTGGTCACCACACGACGGCTAATTAAAAACTATAAAAGTATCAAACGAAAGGTCTATTTGTCATGGCACACAGAATTAAGTTAGCTATAGGTAGACCAGTACTACTAGACCTATATAATTAATGAAATGTTTACCAAAAACTTTTTTTGTGTATCTACCGAACGTCAAGTTCATACGCTTTAATTTCACGCATGTAAACTTATTTGCTTTTAATATTATTTAAAAAGTGGGAGTATGTAGAGCTGTAATGGATTACTTGAGTAAACACAAAATTAATACATTATTACGAATTATAACATTATAATCAAGAGAGGTCATATTATTGTGTACAATAAAATATATGTGTTTGCATTGTGTCATGGATACAATAACTATACACATATTATGTCGAAGTAGAATAGGTAGTAGGTTCCTATACAATTCTGGATAGAATTTATAAAAGTATAATAATTGAGTGCGTATCATAAACTAGCTATAGATTAATCCATGCTTATTCTAGAAAACATGAAATATTGAGATTTTTTTGATTCTCTTAAATAAATTTTATTCATAGTTTTACAATTATTAATTAAATTCAAAGTTGTTAAGTATTAAATCGATATATAATTCATATTTTATATCAGCCTGGTAGTCATATACTTACTTCCACTTAAAGTAGGTTAGAACATTTCATAGAAAGTGAACCATTGAAAAAATAAATTTATAATTAAAATATTAAACAGCAATATGACTTTAATTGGCCTATGGTTTTTTTTTACACCAAATAACAGACTGATTATTAGTAGGTACTATAAATATGATGCCTATTTTTCATTACCATTATATCTCAATATTGAACTTAATATTTATAGTCTAACATACTGGATAGGTTTGTGCCTCCACACATCACAAGGTAGTATTGAGCAGGTATAAATATTAATTGTTTAACACATTGTATAAAAAGATTTCACTCCAAACAAACTAACATGGTGGGAAGTACATCCCCTAACGCGTTCCACATTTAGAAATAATTAGTTTGTTTGGCTTACTATTTCCAATGTTACTAATTAATGACCATTTGATAATATATTTAAAAAAGTGTATAATTAAAATATTGTCAAGTCAGTTAATGGCAGATAAGTGCACGTTTTCATAATATTCGTTTGCAAATATTACTAAAAATATTTTACTAAATATTTCCAAAATGATTGATTTTGATATTGGCAACATCTTAAGAGTGCCTATATTTGGGAACGGTTTATTTTAAAGATTTCGCAAAATTATATTTTCGACATGGTCGTTTGACATATTACCTATTATAGCTGTAACTTATATTTAATTTTTATCTCGCAATCAAAAATGTTTTCAATCATGTATAATGTACAAGTCTAACAACTAAACTAATTTTACATCCTTGAGTAATTCATGTTCAAAAATAATCAATATGTACCTAATTATCAATTTGGTTGATAATTTGGCTGCGATAATGATAATCCAAAATTTAAATATATTTAATGTTTGAAGGTCAAACCAATCTTCTTTGAACTGATGAACATATAAATAAGTGCATATTAACAAAACAACCATTCATGCTATTTCTAGAAATAAGTTAAACTTTGAAGTTCTATTTTGAACCAAAAATCCAGTCGGCTCCACAGTATATGAATAATAATTAGGCCTATACACTTGCATAACATTAAAATAGGACTTGAGGTTATTTGAAAAACAGTCGTCATTTCGAAAGCTTGTTTCCAAAACTGAAATTAAAGAATACATATTAGTTATTTTATGATTAACATTGTAGGCATCCAATAATGATGGCCCTCTAATTAAACGACCTCAAAATTATTACACACATCATTGTTTATTCATAATTTGAAAATATTTAGCATGACGCAATTGAATAATATCATTGTTATTATAATAATATCATTATTGTGGTAATAGTATGATAATAGTCAATCTTAAGTATTAAGTATCAATATTGCATACACTATACGCCGTGGTACATTCAAGATAATTACCGAGTGACAAAAGTGCTAAATCTAAAACATAATATTATATTTCATTATTTTTTGTATAAAACTTCTCTCTGTGGATTCAACAACATTAACGATCATTGTATTATATAATATTGGCTAAAGTGAGGATTATTAAAATAATGTTTTAACAACTCTTTTTGGTTAAGTAACCAAACATATTATAAACAAATATAAATATAAATATTTATATATTGGTTCAAATATACTACCATTAGAAATTAAACACAGCAACTTTTTTAAGAAAGAAAATTACACTTTGGCTATTACTTGAACAAAATATAGACAGACTCTGGACAAACGTATAGGATTACTGCATTTTTTATCATATTAGTCGTAATTATTGTTAATTTTAGTTTTATATTACCATATTATATTGTATTGTTTAACTATACAATTTTTTACGTAATACTATATTATAATATTATTTTATATAAACAAAGAGAGGAAAATATATATTTACTTATATTAATTTTATAGTTATGTGAGAAATGTATATTACAAATTGTAATAATTTAATTTATATGAACTATTTAATGAATTTATATTTCAAATTGTGAACTCATGAGCCCTTACATGAACGCCTCCAGTGGGAACCATTATCTTCTTGAAGAATAAATAAAAACTAATAAATAACGGTAAAGAACACATGGCTAGGTCCACAAAACAATAATAATAAGGCGTTTACAATTTTTGTAACAGAATAATGTTTGTTTGCAAATTATAATAAAATAATATGGTTTTGCAATTTACAATATAATAATGACGATGGCATGGCAACAGCAAGGAATTTTTTTATAGAAAGGATAATATCAGACTCGTCGCAAGACATGTGTTTATTAAATATAATAATTATTTATTGTTTTACTCGTCCGGAGACACATGTTTTGAATTTTTTGTTTTCTAAATAATAATAAAATATCGAACCACTGGAGAAGGCACATTGCTCATTACTGGGGTTACCGAGCAAAGCATCTTTTAATAAAATGAATAATCGCCCAAGGGACAGGTGACTTGTGACAGTCGGAATTTTAATAGGAGAACAAGAAAACTGAAAACAGGGGGACCCGCGTCTTCCGACGTATCTTATTACGTGCTTGGAAAGGGTGGGCAACAGGTGAATTTACACATTACGAAAAATGACGACCAGAGTCTTGAGCTGTTTTTTGACCTTGCATTGGTTGGTGGCGACTTCGCCTAGGTTTGACTTAGCCCATCATGGCTCGGTAGTATTACGTCATGAAATACAATATGGCCAAAATTAACGTTGATTGCTTTTGACGTGTTGGACACGAGATTTTTTTTTTCAAATAACTTTATTTAAAATGGTGTTAATACCTATTAAACTTAAAAATAATAACTGATGAGAGACCTTATGGTCCGAATACGGAATATAATAATATAATCAATTAATTGATCTAAGAATTCTTAGATTGTTTGCATGATATAAATGTTTTTACGAAACCAATAGACCTTTTAAATAAATCGATTTTAAAATATTTCGTTTTGCGTTTGTTTTGTCTAATGATATAATATAATATATAATTTGTTAATCATTACGTTTTGTTTTGCGGTAGTTAATTATTTTTAATTATCGATTTCCACTATAATAACGTTTACAAATTTCAATAGTTTTTTTTTATCAAATATAAAGTTGTAGTCATAACGTTATAATAACGATTAATAAATTATATATTATAATATATAAATAGACAAAACAAACGCAAAACGTAATTTATAGAATATCATCAAACAAAAAATAACTCAAAACGTAATTTATAGAATATCATTGAACTAAAAATAACGCAAAACGAAATATTTTAAAATCGATTTATTTAAGAGGTCGTTTATAAATTATAATACATATAATACCTGATAGGTATTATGAGATGTTTTAGTTGTTGTACACTTTAACATTCAATCTAATATGTTTAAACAGTAAAACTGATATGTTTAAGTATCTAGACAAAATAAATATAATTTGTATCACAAGCTCATGAATCATGATACACTTTTTCTTTGCCTATTTGGTCTCGATCTTCGGAGTATTTAGGTAAATGTTTACTCATAATTTATACTTATATAGGGACATAAAATGTAATAATTAGATACTATAGGTATTAAGTTTACCAACCAGCAGCAAAAAATAGAAAAAAAACATTTATTAAATCATCTTGAACAATATTATTCCCTGTGGATTTCAGATTTTTTCTTATTCACATATACGGAAGTTTAAAATGATTGTATATCGAATGCGGAATAATCATTATAGATCTGTCTTTCACAATAATTATAAAGTATATCTACTACAAAGATCTTAAATAATATCTGTGACAAACAGTGGTGGTAAATGTAGTAAGAGCTCTGTTATAATTACGATCGAGAAAATAGGTTTGATATGGGTCCAATAGCTTAACAAACACAATAATCGGGTATATACCATCGGATGTTAGTTAATAGTTCGTGCACCACAGTATCAATCGGTATCAATACATAATCTAGGGTTTTGCAGTCAACTACGCCTTAACCAATGACACGACTTCTTGTCGATCGATCTCGAGAATAGGGCCCCAGGTCGAGTGGCACGTCCGGACCACCTGTTCATATCAGATGGCGTCAGATCGAAGCAGTAGGCCGGGGGTAACTCGATGGTCGACGGGTGCGCCTCCACCAGCCCAAGTGCCTCCACGGCGGGCACGTCGACTAGAACTTGCATAGCGTCGCACTTTGGCGGGTTATAGTAGTTATAGTAAATATTGTATATCGTTATGCACTGGTCTTCAAACTACGGCCCGTTGGACGCATGGGTAAATATCGATAAAAAAATTATTTCAAAAATGTATTTATATTATATTATATTATATTTATACCTATTTATTTTTATTTAATTATACTGTAAAGTAAACAATATTTTATACAAAAAAATAAAGTAAACATATTATTTATATAGGTAGGTACCTAATATATTATCATAAAATTAAAAATTATATGTGTTAATAATCTTTTGGCCCGCTAAGAGCATTTGATTTTTTTTTTGTGGCCCTTGAATAAAAAAGTTTGGAGACCCCTGTAGTTATGTATTACATCATCATCGCATCAGCCGCCGACCGGAATCCGTCCGGAAGTCGCTCGACGCTCTTGTTAGAAGTTTGTCCGCCGCCGTATTACGATTATTATTTATACCTAATATCGTGTTAGGCTTTACGAATTGTCAATAATATTATTATTATAGTATATTGTGTGGCAAGAGCGGAAAGTGAGCTATTTCAGTGGCCCCCGACGTGTGAGGCACGAGCCACACCAACTATTTTTTTGTCATGCCTCTGCGTTCATTGACCACGCCTGATCTTTTACAGTATTTCTGGTCATGGGCGTAAATCCATTATGCGGTGCATAATTTCGTCTATATTAGAAAATCTTCAAATAGAAATACGATATATTTACCCCCGTTAAAAATTACTTATTGTATACAGTGGAACCTCGATTATCCGGGGTAATGGTGGGGAGGGGGTCACACGGATAAATGAAAACCACGGTTAATCGAGACTTTTTATAATAATGACATTTTTTATTTAACTATAATTAGAAATACACAGGTACAATCTTATTCGTTAGTCGCATTAGTGTATATTACGTCTTTCGTCGCACCGCGATCTTTTTGACCGCGTTATAATTTTTAAGAATATAATAGTTTTTACAAGCGCCGGGAAAAAACAACATAAAAATTAAGGAAAAACTGGAATTTATACGCAAAATCGGTTTTCCGAAAAATCGATTTTGGTTTTTAGAGTAACTCTAAAACAAAATAACGTATATACGTGACATTTTCAATGGTTGTTTATATTTGCATTTTATATACACGATAACATTTTCAAAATATTATGATTTGTTTTGAACTATTTAGGAACATTTTCATTTTCCATCTTTTTTCGGACCACTGGTTCCGCGCTTCAATACAATTTTCCAAGTAGGTACCTACCTATATGGTACTATTAACTGTACATACTACAAGTATAGTAGTATTATACTACTATAATAGTAGTATAGTTTATTTGAATGGCAATTTTTTAAAAGGGACCCAAGGGCCAAATTACATTTTTGACGAAAATAGTTTTGTTGTATATTGGTCATCCCCTTATGCAAAGTGCAAACACATCGTTTTGTGTTAAAAAGTACCTACTTCGGATCATCTTGTCTGTGCAAACTTATTATGAAATATTTCATAGTTTGTTAAAGGTACCCATGTACCCATGTACATAACTCAAATAGAAATAAAGGAAAACTGTGTTTGTTTCTCCTGAAAAGCAGTTGAAAATGTATATGGGGTGCCTTCTAACAAATTTCCATTCATTTAGAATCAATGGTGGTACAGATTAATTTTTCTTATAATTAAATTAAGAATATAAAATTTGTTTTGAGTATTTTCAATCCAATAATAACGAGTCAGATATGTTTGTATAATATTGCTACCTACTGTTTTGATTTTCGTCGATAACAACCAGTTTTCTAAGAAAATCACAATTACACACGGGTCTTAATTTGAGTACTATTGGGACAATATTATTATAAACACGACAACGACGGTATTTTTGAAAATAACAGAACCGATACTAATAATATTATAATTTATAATTACATAATAATATTATCGTTGTCGGGCGGCCGTGTCACGCCATATTGTGCGCGTGTCCTACCAAAAATCCGACGGAAAACCAAACAGTTTCGTCGAATCGTATTGCACTATTGCAGTGACGAACGAAATAGAAAATAACGTCGGACGATAGTACGTTTTCGTCGGCGGTGCTGCGAATTGCATGCCAAAAAAATAAATATAAATTGGAATGTCCAAATTGCATGCCGTCTTTTGGAGGGGTCTGTCCGAATTGCATCCCGTCTCTTGGAGGGGTTTATCCGAATTTCATCCCCTCTCTTAGAGGGGTATGTCCGAATAAAATGATTAAATAACTTACCTTTCCAGTTTCCACTGGAGGAACGGGATTTTGTTACATTACAATAAAATATATAAATATTGTAGAAGGTGACACTGCGAATAATAAATATTAAATAAAACTATTTTTCATCTACAACAAAGACCATTAGTTAAATAAAACTATTGTAGTTTAGGGTATTCAAGTGAGTGTATTTTACATGTTCACACAGTATTTCAAATAAATAATATTGTTTTAAAATTTGGTGGGTTTTTTTGAAATTTTAAGCACACAATATTACAAGTTAAATATACAATATAATATATAACGATAGTTCATAATAATAAAATATGTCAATATGGAAAATATATATTAATAATACTAACACCGGAAACATATTTTTTTGAATAATTGAATAGTAATAGCATTTTATAAAACGGTTAATATTAAAGGGGAAATAGTTTAAAATTTTTCAGGGGAATAATTACAATGAAAAATCACGTTACAATAAAATAATAATAATAAATTAAAAAAACAATAATAATAATATTATAATAATAACTTATAAATTTGACAGCTACTAATACTTAAGTAACCGCCAATATGCGTATGTCTATGTCTGTGAAATAGACTACAATACACTACATTACTCCAATATAGATACAGTTTGGGAAAATATTTACTCGGATATAAAAACATTTCAATCTAGAAACTAATCAATTGTAACAAAACAACCATAGATAAAATAGCGTTTTTGTACATGCATTTTTTTTTAAATTAGGAAAGTCCAAAAAATGTTTAAGTTGTTTAAGTGCATAATAAATAAACATGTGGTTCAAGGCATGCAATTCGGATAGACCCCTCCAAGAGATGGCATGCAATTTGGAATTTTTTTTTTGGCATGCAATTCGGATGCAGCCGTCGTCGGCTGCAGGACTCGTCGGGGGAGACCTTGAGACCGAGTCTCCGAAGCATGGGACATGGGTGGATAGGCCCATCGGGAAATCAGGATTTTCCCGGTTGGCCCCCATCAATATTATGCTCAGAGGCCCCCCCAATCCCGAAAAAAAAATAATAAAAAAAATTTGAACAGTTAATTTCTATAATAGGTACCCTAATAATATTTAGTATCATGCAGTCATAATCCAAACATGAATGTAAAATATCGTGTAGTTTATTGCTTTGATGTGCTTGTGCAGTACAACTTATACGCAAATGCAAGTTGGACGTGAAAGGAGTTTTTCTAAGTTGAAATAATATTGTATAAAAACTATTTGAGAAATACATTGGGCCCAAGACATTTTAGAAAGCTTAATGCAGATGAATGTCGAAAAAGATTTACCGAGTGCAATCAATTGATTCAAATGATGTGCTCAATAAATTAGTTACTAGGAATAGTACGTAAAAAAATGGTTATCATCGTTTTAATATTAAATAATACTGTGAGTTTTTAACAATTAATTGTGTATAATTGTGTAGTATGAACATTGTAATATGATTCGATTGTGAAAAGTATTAAAGCCAGCGAAGAGAGCATTTTTTTCTTATATATAATGTTATATGAGGCCCCAATAATTTTATCTGGGTAAAAAAATGTACATATTATCCGTCCATGGTCTGAACCCTGAAGTTGTTGAAAATATTATATTATCATATCGTTTCATTTGTATATTAATTATTATTATTATTACCATGGGAGGCCGCAAAACCAATAAATAGTTGGAAATATTATTTTAGTAATTTGAACGGCGGTCGCCGCCCGCACTCCGGTGATACTGTCGCCGCCCGACAGTCGCAATCGAAATGTGTATAATGTTATCGTTGGGTTGATGGAGGGCCGAGGGGGAACAAAGCCGCGTACCAAGACGCTATTGAAATTGTGTTCAGTGTTTACAACATTATGATATTATTATTATTATATTATGCTGTCTCTGAAGTCGTTGAAAATATTATATTATATCGTTTCATTTGTTTATTAATTATTATTATTATTATTGCTATGGGAGGCCCACAAAACATATAAATAGTTGGGAATATTATTTTAGTAATATTTGAAGGATAGTAGGCGCGCTGGTGAAACTGCCGACGGTTTTAATCGTGACGCGTATGTTATCGTTCGGTAGACGGAGGGCCGAGGGGGGAAACAAAGCCGCGTACTAGGATGCTATTGAAATTGTGATATTATTATTATAATATTATGCAGTCTCCGAAGTCGTTGAAAATATTATATTATATTGTAACGATCTGGTGGCTTGGTACCTACTAATTACTATTGTAGTGCTTACAGTAGATAAGTGGCTACCAAGATGTTATAGATGCAGGTCGCAGACACTTTATTTGATGCTGTAGTCGTGGTAGATAAATGAATAATAAGACAGATGTTGTGTATTGTGAATTTTATTATAACGTTCGATAATTTTCTAAGTCCAAAGTAATATTGTACAAAGTGACGTGAAGGTGCTTGCTCTAATGGGTGGTAGTACACGTCTGAAAACAGTCCTATTCGGGCTCCCTTATATATGAAGTTCCCCGTGCCCCTCGCCTACAGATACGGTATCTTCGTTCTCACGGATGTCATTTGTGTGGTCATCATTCTAGCCCACGCATTTACGATTGAATGTATAACTGATTGAATGTATTACTAATTTATGATTACTGATTAGTCATTTTACTCTTCAATATTTTAATTTCATCGTATGCGTCCAGTATTCCTGTAAAGTATGACAACCGCCTATTTTGACCCTATTGTACTTAATATCTGGTTATTCCGACCTATTATATATTATAG